AAGTAAGCAAAAGTGAATTGACCAGCTTCATTTCCTGCCCAGGAGTAGACCAAAGTCACCCATCTTGGATGATTGTCCTGGAATCATTTCTTTCTTGGCAGCCTTTTTCTACCAACTGCCCCCCTCGCCCCCCCTTTTTTTTTTGTAAAAATCTCAGGTCTATGAATACAAAGATAGAAAGAAATGAAATCTGGTATATATGTTATTTCACTCAATGATATAAAGTCTTGCTGTTATTCATCTTTGGGGTTATTTCAGATTAATTAAATTGAAAGTATTCCTTTTGAAATATGCTGCAGAAATTCACTCTGTAGACTCAAGTCCCAAAGGGCAGAGTTTCGAAATTTACAGGAACTTGAGGCCAATAATAACCAGGTTTTGTCTACATTCCTATGAAGGAATAACCCGGGAACAATTTTTCATCCAGTGTTTTCCAAATCTTTTTCTCTGCCATGCTTGGCAGGTAGGAGAGGTCTAGGATTTCAGTCTCAGAATTCTGATGCTGCAGGGTAACAGCAATTTAAAGAGGGTTACTGCCACAAAATCTCTACCTGAGCTTTCTTAGCCTCCCTATGGGACCAACAATTGGCAAAACTAAGAATCTCTCTTCATCCTCCATCCCCAAGTAATCCTGGAGCCATGACAGCTGAATAGGAGGTGGGGGTGTTATGGGATTACCAGAAATTGACAGCATTTACCCCAGTGTGGGAAGCATGAAGAAAGAATGGCAGCAAAACCTTCAACTGGTTTTGGAGAGACTCCTGTGCTTTCATTAGGCAAAGACCAAAAGTCTTTCCAGACAGTGATAATCGTATAAAAAAATGTTTGATGCAATTTGAAACTTTCCAATGCTGACTTATTGATTAGAAAACCATCTGAATGAAATTTTATAATTATAGAAGAAAATTTAAACACAAAATATTTGACCATTTAAAGACAAGTTTCCCCTACTAATAAAAAAACTCAGTAAATGCTTATGTTGTCGTTGTTAAGCGCTGTGGAGTTGATTCCGACCCATAGTGACCCTGCGTAGGGTTTCCTAGGAGCAGCTGGTGAGCTTAAACCACCGACCTTGCAGTTTAAATGGCTTTGCTGTCTGACACATTAACCCACAGCACCACACCAGGACTCCTATAAATGCTTATAGGATTAATTACATAAATAGAAAAAAATTTAAATTTTCAATTCACATATATGAAATGAGGTTTTCATAAAGCATGATATACTAGGGGTCTTCAAAAATTTCCTAGCCAATGCATATTATGAATAAACTAGGCACAATTTCAATTCTTTTTGGTACTATAATAAATGTGCTCTAACCTGAACAGGATCTAGTCTGAAGGACTAAGAAGGATAAGACTTCAGTTTGAAAAGAGTCCCTATCAAAGCAACATGAATTCTGCTAAAATTGCAACAAGAACATACCTCAAATCTATGGGGACGCTTGAGAGGAAGTAAGGTGAAATCATAGCTGCTTGACCAAAAGTTTATTGGGGCCAGTGCCCCATGGAAGTCAACAGTTAAAAAATGGGTAGCTCATTTTAAGCAGGGACAGGAAGTTCTAGAAGATGGAGCTCACAGCAGCAGGCCGCCCACATCAATTTTCAAGGTAAAATTCCTTTTGATTGTGCCTTAATTGAAAAAGACTGACGCTTAACAGCAGAAATAGCAGCCAACACTATAGACATCTCAACTGTTGCAGCTTACACAATTCTGACTGAAAAATTAAACTTGAGCAAATTTTCTGTTTAACAGATGCCAAAACTGTTGTGACCAGATCAGCTGCAGGCAAAAGCAGAGCTTTCAATGGAAATTTTAAACAAGTAGAATCAAGATCCTGAAGCACTTCTTGGGAAAATTGTAACAGGACATGAATCGTGGTTTTACCAGTAGGGTTACCAAGAAGTTGGAGAGTGCCGTTGAGTCGGTTCTGACTCATAGTGATCTTGTATAGGATTTCCAAGGACTGGCTGGTGAGCTTGAACCACTGACCTTGTGGCTCAAATGAACCTTACAGTCCAGTGCATTATCCTGCAGCACCATGCCAGGACTCCAGTAAAAGTAATAACAACAACTCTGGAGATGCTTAAGACATGTGTGGCACTATAGGATAAACATTCATGATTGGCAGTTCAAACCCACTAGCCACTTCTTGGAAACCCTATGAGTTAGAACCAATTCAATGGCACTTAACAACAACTTGCCAACAATATAACAAGATGTTTTGCTTGTTAACTCTCTGGAGGGCCAAAGAAAGATAACATCTGCTTATTACGAGAGTGTTTTGAGAAAGGTACTCCAGACTTTAGTAGAAAAATGCCCAGGTAAGCTTTACCAGCGAGTCCTTCTCCAACACAACACTGCTCCTGCTCATCCCTTTCATCAAACAAAGACAATTGTGCAAGAATGTTGATGCGAAAGCATGAGGCATCCAACTTTCAGTCTTGATTTGGCTCCTCTGGCTTCTTTTTGTTCTCTGATCTTAAAAAGTTAATTAAAGGACACCCATTTTTCTTCAGTTTATGATGTAAAAAGGACTGCATTGACAAGGAGAAATTCCCAGGATGCTTAAATCTTTAGGGATGGACTAAGTGTCTGGAACCATTACTTACAAATGTGTCTTGACAATGCCGGAGCTTATGTTGAGAAATAAAGTTTATATTTTATATTTTTATTTTTAAATTCCATGTCCATGAACTTTTTGAAGACTCCTCATATATTCTACTCCTTAATTACTTATGAATTCCCCCTGCAGTCCTCTTAAACCTTTGTTGTTGTTAAGTGCCTTTGAATCAGTTCTGACTCATAGCAACCTTGTATAGGGTTTCAAGGTTGTAAATCTTTGTAGGTGCTGAAAGTGTCAACTATCTCTTGCAGAGCGATTGGTAGGCTAGAGCCACCAACTTTCATTCACTGTCCACTGCTTACCCTTCAGTCCCCACATTTCCCCTAATACCTTAACAGCTAAATGTAACTGTTAAGAGGACAAACTTTACCCCAACCTCTTCTTTGGATTTTTTAGACTTCCAAATTATTGTGGGTTTTCTTTTTTCCCCTCCTAAATGCAATTATAATTTCTTCCCCTCTCCAAATACTGTAACCATTTTGAGGTCTGTTCACTTTGTCTTTCTCAACATATGAGTGCTATCTTATAGATAGTGTGTATCTCATACTGAATTCATGCTCAAATGTACCATTTGAGCAAACACATTATACTGTATCATGCTACTGAACTTAACATTCTTGTCTTAGTATGCCCAGTGGTTTGATTAAGAGAATCTGCTGTTGTTATGTGCAGTGGAGTTGGTTGGACTCATAGCGACCCTGTATAGAGAAGGCTTTAAGTCTTCAGGGAGGTAAAACTCTCATCTTTCCCCTGTGGAGCAGATGGCTGTCTCCAACAAGGTCCTTATGTGCCACAGCCTAGAGCTTATCATACAGAGCCACTGAGCTACCTAAGAGAATATATTGTTGTTGTTGTTGTTAAAGTGTGTTGAGTTGGTTCCAACTCATAGCAACCCTGTACAGGGTTTCTTAGGAACGACAGGTGAGTGGGACCGTACAGAACAGGCACTGAGATCTGTCTATGATTTGGAAGGTTTAATCTCTGTAAACTATTTTCTTATCTATAAAATTGGGAACTAGTAGTGTGTCTTTAAAGTATTGAAGAGCAAAGATGTCAGTTTGAGGACTAAGGTACACCTGACCCAAGCCATGGTATTTTCAGTAACCTCATATGAATGTGAAAGCTGAATAGTTAATAAGGAAGACCATAGAAGAATTGATACATTTGAGTTATGGTGTTGGAGGAGAATATTGACAGTATCATGGGTTGCCAAAAGAACCAAGAGATCTGTGTTGGAAGAAGTGAAGCCAGAATGCTCCTTGGAGGCCAGGATGACCAAACCTTGTCTCTCATACTTCGGACATACTCCAGGGACCAGTCGCTGGAGAAGGATATCATGTTTGGTAAGGTCAGAGAAAAAAAGAAAGACCCTCAGCGAGCTGGATTGGCAAAGTGGCAGCATCAATGGGCTCAAGCATGGCAACAATTGTGAGGTTGGCCCAAGACCTGGCAGTGTTTCGTTCTGTTTTGCACAGGGTCTCTATGAGTCGGTACTGACTCATTGGCACCTAACAACAACAACAACAAGTGCGTGTTTAGATTTTGTACGGATTAAATATAAAACTGCATGTAAAATACTTAGGACACCATGAGCTTAACCAATGTTGTAGTGACGTGTTTAAGATTTATGACCAGCCTGTAGGGGAGGAACGTAACCATGTGAGCTGTCTTTTCTCTTACAAGCAGAGGGCGGTTGCTTACAGGCATGTTCCTAATTTCAATTGCCTTTTGCACTTTCCACTCTGCCATCCATACACTATTTTCCACTATAGTTATGATGAGAAACCAGGTCTCCTGTTAACAGTGTGTTTGTATAGCATTTGGATATCCGCACGTTTACTAAAAGTGTTATTCTGTTAATGCAAACTCAGTAACAGAGTTTTACAAGTATTGAAATACATAAAAAATGCTTCCTTTTTCCAATTGTAAGACTGCAGATGCTTCTACTCCCTCCATTGGGAAGACCTAGAAGAGAGCGGGATTAGAGTTTCTGGAAGGGGGCAGGAAGGCCTCCTCATTTCAGCATTGCTGGCCAGAGTGACTATGATTGTTGTGAAATGATCCTATGGTCAGTTGTTATTTTCAGGAAGGTTGTAAAGCTGGAGGAGGTCAAGGTTTTGCAATAGTTAAGAGGGGTTTCTAAAGAGTTCTTATCATCTGTGAGAATTTGGGCAGCTGGAAAATGTTTGTCCTGGGAAGTTTCTATGATGTGTGTTTGGGGAGGAAAGTTGGAAGCGTATCAATTGCTAAAAAGGTCAGAGAAGGAGGGAAGGAGTTTTTCATGTAAGTAGGGTCAGAACAGCTGGGAGGTCAAATTGGGAATATTATAGCAGCAGTTGGGCAGAGATGGAAACAGCAATTCTGGGCAAAGGGTATGGCGGAGTGCGGCAGCTGGGAAGACCCAGCATGGGAGAGTTTGAAGAGTAAGATAAGCAAAGACCTAGGGGAAAATGTGCCTCCAGCAAAACTCAAACTGCCTTGCACAGCATCTGTTTTCAAAATTTACAATGATTATAGCCTTTCCTTTCTAGGGAGCTCACGGTGCAAGTTTACTTATAGCCTTTCCTTTCTAGGGAGCTCACGGTGCAAGTTTACCTGCCATCCTTCCAATGGGATCTCTCTGGTGTTTTCAGTTTTCTCCAGGATTATGGAATTTATATGTGTAATCCTGAAAAACCTGTTCAATTTACTTAAAATGCCAAAAAATCCTATATATAGCACTCATGCGAGGTGATCCCCATTGCAGGGCACTGAATGACTTCCTATGGCTCCTCCAGCCATAGTCTTTGTAACTTCCACAAAACAACTTTGTTTCCCTGATGGGTCTGCGTAAGATAAGATGAGGAAAGATGCAGGTGGATTATATGATTCAGTTGAGAGTGATGGTTAACAGGCTTAATTGTGAAACTTTGGAACTCTGACGTACATATACAATGAGCCATCTCAGACACAGGTGTGGGGGATTTTACTTACATTAAAGAAAAAAGGCCAGGAGGGGAGCCTTGAGATCCCCAAGTCTCCTCCAGCCAGGAGACAGAGCTGTAACATCAGAGGGGTGGTGGCAGTAGAACCAGGACCCAGAGCCCAAGACTGAGTGGTGTAAAGTAAAACTAAGTGCCTTCAGGCAGGGGGCTTGCTTGTGGAATGTGGTGCCTCCAGACACTTTATGGGAGGAGCTAAAGCCAGGTGCCTTAGGGCTCAAGTTTATAGCAATATGGAGCTCCCTAAAAGAGCTTCCTTACATTGCTGGAGCAGGGCAGAGGCCAAGGTGCCTGTGGCTCAAGACACGGCTGGGGAGAGGTTATTCTGACTGGAAAAACTGTTCCCTGAGCCTGTCTGATCCTGAATTGTAGCCTGTTAACTTCCCTAATAAACCCCGTAACTGTGAGGATGGTGTTTCAGTTCTCTGTAGCTATTGCAATGAATTTTCAAGCTCTGCTGAATAGACAATGTTGTAGGAGAGATGGTTGGTGTCATTTCTATACTCATATTAAAAATAAATATTGTTAAGTGCTGTTGAGTCGATTCCAGCCCATAGCAACCCTGTATAGGGTTTCTGAGGAGCAGATGGTGAGCTTGAACTGCCGACCTTGCAGTTCAAACAACTTTGCAGTTCAGCACATTAACCCACAGTGCCACACCAGGACTTGTCCTGTCAAAATTAGAAGGGCAAAAAGTGCACGGAGTCCTGGTGTGGCACTGTGGGTTAATACACCAGACTGCAAAGCTGTTTGAACTGCAAGGTCGGTGGTTCTAGCTCACCAGCTGCTTCTAGGAAACCTTATACAGGGTCACTATGGGTAGGAACTCACTCGATGGCACTTAACAACAACAACAAAAAATGCATAGCAGTACTTTGTGATGTGTCATCCTAGAAAAGTTTCATATAAGTTATGGTAAATCATATCACATTTAAATCTTACTATGAAGTTTATTAAGGAGTGTGGTGGCTCCATATGATAAGCATGGGACTACAAGCTACAAGGTCCGAGGTTTAAGCCTACCACCTGCTCCATGGGAGAATGAGGAGGCTTTCTGCTCCCCTAAAGATTTAAAGCCTCAGAAACCCCATACAGCGTCACTATGAGTTGGGACTGACTTGACGGCAGTTAATAACAACAAGAGAATTTATTATTTAATATTAAAAGTTTGTAGTATGTAATTAGTGCTGTACTAGCCTAAAAAGCAAGTAGTTCTTTAAAATACAAATAGCCATCAGTTCCTATTTAATGTGATTTATAGATTAAAGTATTTTAAACTATTTCATAATCTAAATATAATTCATTAAAGTGAATAAAACAAGTATACAACATCATCGTTGTTGTTGTTGTGTGCCGTGCAGTCGGTTCCGACTCATAGTGACCCTACACAGGGTTTCCGAGGCTGTAAATCTTTACAGAAGCAGAAAGCCACATCTTTCTCCCATGGAACCGCTGGTAGTTTCGAACTGCTGACCTTGCGGCTCGCAGCCCAATTCGTAACCACTGTACAGGGTCGCTATGAGTCGGTTCCGACTCCACGGCACATAACAACAACAACAACAACAAACGCTACCAGAACAACATCGTTAGTACAAAATAATTGGGGTAATCACCTGGAGTCCTGGTGTGGTACTGTAGGATAAGCACTGGACAGCAAAATGCAAAGTTTGTGGTTCAAATTCACTAGCCGCTCCTTGGAAACTACACACAGGGTTGCTATGAGCTGGAAATGACCAGAGACCACTTAACAACAAGAACTTGGGATAATCATCTAAGCAATCTCCACTCAGACAAAAAAAACAGAACGTCATTGGGACATCAGAAGACCTCTCCTTCCCAAATGAAACTATTATCCTGCTGTCTAGCACTAGTGTGTAGTTTTGCCCATTAAGAAGACAGTTCACAATAACAAGTGTATATACGTCAAATCACATAGTACAACGTCTTTTTCTGGAAACTGGTTTCATTCCTCATTATCCTTGTTCTATGTGTTTGTAGTTTACTCATTTCCCTGACTACATACATTCCAAAAGTAACTCATCCATTTTACTGTCCTGGACACTTAGATGGTTCCCAGTTTTGAGCCCTTATAAAAAATGCTATTTAACACATGTATGGTGGTGGTGGTGGTTATATGCCGTGGAGTCAGTTCCAACTCATAATGACCCTGTACAGGGTTTCCATACATGTAGAAAATGTATGTGGAAATCATGTGTGCACTCTCAGAAATGCATGTGAACATACATTTCTGTTGAGTCTATGCCTAAATAAAAAATCCAACCCCATTGCTATCAAGTCAATTTCAATTCATGGGGACACCTTCCTTGTGTGTCAGAATGGAACTGTGCTCCATAAGGTTTTCAGTAGATACTTTTTCAGAAACAGATGATCGGTTCTTCTACAGTGCCTGAGTGGATTTGAACCACCAACCTTTTGATTAATAAGTCATTCAGAGATCTGTCATTCAGAGATCTGATATATACCTTTGTTGTCATTGCTGTAGTTAAGTGCCATCGAGTCTGCTCTGACTTATAGAAAGCCTTTATATGGTTTCCAAGGAGTGGCTGGTGAGCTTGAACTGCTGACCTTGCTGTTCAAACTGACCTTGCAGTCCAATGCATCAACCCACAATGCCACACCAGGACTCCACCTAGGAAGGGTAAATTGCTGGTTTAGGGGATTGATTTGATTTTCTAAGTTGGTTATCAATAATTCTTCCTGTGCATGAATGTGAATTTCACTTCTCCCATTAATATAGTCTTTTCATCTTTCCTTGAGTAATAGTTGCCCACGTGACTTGCTTTGACCAATAGAATGTAGGCAAGTGATGCTACGTGTGTTCTGGGCCTTGGCCTTATAGTTCTTTTTATCTGTGTTTTCAGTATCTTAGAACACGTTCATTCTCCATGCCTGGCCTATACCAGACCACATGGAAAGAGACACCCAGCTGTTCCACTATCCCAGTTAAGTCCAACCCCAATGAACTCACCAGCTGCATGTGCTGTATGCATGAGCCCGTGTGAGAAAAACTGCCCAACCCATCAAAATATCCTGGGAAACAATACGTATTGTTGTTTCAAGAAGTTTGGGGGTGGTTTGTTATGCAGTAATACATAATTGAAACAGTGAGTTTCTTTAATATTGGTGGTGTTGTTAAGTGTCGTTGAATTGGTTCTGACTCATCACAACCCTGTATAGGGTAGATAAAGATAAACAATTTTCCAAACTAGTTACACCAGTTGCATTTTAGTTAGCAATGTGTAAGGGTTTCTGTTGGTCTAAAGCATTGCCAACACTTGGTACTTTGAGTCATTTTAATTTTACTTTTTCTTGTAGACACATTGTGGTATTTTGTTTTGGTTACTCCTAATAACCAAAAGATGGAAAGAACCAACAGAAGAATGGATAAACAAGATGCGGAACATACAGAAATTGGAATATTACTTAGAAAATGGCATATTACTTAAAAGAGAAAGTAAGTCTTTGTATCTCATACCAGGGTCGTTATGAGTTGGAACCAACTTGATGGCACTTAACAACAACAAGAGGCAGATGTAAAGGAAAAGAAAAGGGAGACTCATTGCTTCAGGTATACTGAGCTTCTGTTACACAACTGCTGTTGTTGTTAAGTAAGTGCCATTGAGTCAGTTCTGACCCATAAGCAATACTGTATATGGCTTCTGAGGAGCAGCTGGTGAATTTGAACCGCTAACCTTGTAGTTCAAGCCGACCTTACAGTCCAATGCATTATCCCACAGCACCACACCAGGACTCCTCTCTGTTGCATATTAGTGATGGGAATTTTTGGAATGAGATAACAAAGATGTTTATATTGCCTCAACAACATAACTAATGCTACTCAACTATACTGGTGAAGAATATTGAAATGGCAAATGTTTTGCTATATATATATATATATATATTTACCACAAATAATTTTATTCTAGGGAAGAGGAAAGCACTTACTATTTCTTCTTGTATATTATTATAAATATATCAGAATATATTCATTAAATTTGGCTACTTCTTGCAGTAATTAATATGACACCATTTTTCTGTTATTCTTTTTTAAGACAAGAATGCATTATATTGTATGTGCTTCTGTTTGTTTACCACCAGCACTGCATAATTTTTAAATTGTGCCATGGGTCTAATACATTTGGGGACACTGGGTAATTACTTGGACATAGAGTTTACATAAGGAGCTCTGGTAGCATAGAAGTTACAAGTTGGCCTGATAATCTCGAGGTCAACAGTTTGAAACTACCAGCAGTTCCATGGGAGAAAGATGAGGCTTTCTGCTCCCGTAAACATGTACAGCCTCAGAAACCCTATGCAGGGTCGCTATGAGTCAGAATCGACTCCATGGTACACCACCGCCACCACCAGAGTTAGCATGATCCTAACCCCATGTGGCTTTCCAGCACCAACTTGAGCCATTT